TAAAACTTTTAAGGCTTTAAAAAAACGACACCAGAACTTTGAACGAAAACCAGAAATGCTCTAGCAATTCATATAGCTAATAGAGGATGGGTATAATCATATCAAAACACAAACACATTCCATTTAGTAGCAGTAGAAGCTTCTATGTAATGTTTTAAGGTTCTACAAGCGCCCTAGGTGGATAGATCAAACTAAGGCTACCACAACCACATACAATACAGATAGTCCTCAAGTTACAAATGTAATGGAACCTGCCCATTCCATTCATAAGCTGAGGATTTGTGGGAGTGACTCTTGTACCTTGAACACGATCACTCCCTCCTTTCAAACACGCATTCGCAAACCAAATGCGTTGCTTGTTAAGTGCACATGTGGTATTTCAGGGAGGGGAAGGCCGAGGGGGGCCTACTGATGGAATAGACCACCTATTAGACCACCAAAGACCTCCCTGACCCACTGAAATACCTCATGCTCCCCACAATTGCTTCCCCTCCTCCTCACAGGTCACTTATTGTGTGAAGATCTAGCAAGCTGTCTCCTCTCCAGCCTATCAGCCACGTGCGCCCCTCCAAAGCTCCGTTTGATGTGCATAGGTCTTGTCCAGCATTTTTCAGCCCAAAATGGAGCTTTGGTGTCCCAAATTTCACGCTACTGATCTCACATGATCTTGCAATATTTTAGGCCTTCATTCTCTGCGTACTCGCCGAAGGCCTGAAGCACCAAACAGGCCAAAAAAGTGAAGTTCTTCACAAGTGAGTATCCACAGGTCTAGTGCCTATGAAGACCTGGTGCAGGAGCAGGGAGAATAGGCAGGGTAAATGTTGCAGAGCCTCTGCAGTCGTTCGTAAGGGTGAACAACTCCCATGGTGCTGCAACATTCATAGTTTCGGGGCTTGTTCATAAACGCTAGGGGGTGTTTATCGTGTAACTTCGAACTTTTGCTAAGGGAACACTCGTAATGCAGGGATTACCTGTACAATGAATGTGTTTGCACAAAATACAAAGCTAAAATATGATTTAATGGTGATAGTTCAATGTGTCGTATGAATACAGCCAGACCTTCAATTTTGCTGAGATTCTGTTAGTGAATGTATTTTTATGGAGATCAGCCTGAAATTTATAAATGCACAAAGTATTGTTTTGGGTATACTGGTCAACATATGTATTACACTCTGGCGTCTTCTGTTTCTCTAACTATGATAGGTCTCTCTTGATCTCCTCTTCCTATCTGTAGATTTTTCTCATTTTTTTTTTGTTCTCTTCACAAATTCTTCTCAGTCTCCCTCTGTTCTTGCCAAGAATCATAGAACCTTCACATTCTGCCTCATATGGATATCTGTACCTGATGTGAACACTGATATATTTTTATGAAGCATCATTTTTATTGTAAGTAGATGAATTGCTGAAGTGGTATCTCTAGTCACAGAGGTAAGTGTCTGAATTTATAGTAAGTAATGACAGAGTTTGCACTTGCAGTACATTCCTCTTTATCAGAGCTCCAAGAGCCACAAGTCAGAATCATCTGGGGCAAAATTGTGATGTAATTAAATGAGTCCAGAAATAAAAGGGCAGATGGATGATGAAATGATTTAGTGTATCCCATGAAAATGGTATAACATAACGTAATGCATTCAATTGCAAGATATTAGGCTATCTTGGAACACTAATTGTGCAGGACAAGTACAATTTTGTCAGTTAAATTATTTTAAATCAGAAACCATCAACTACTTGTTAGAAAAATCTAAACTATGTGTCTACCCCAGTTTAAAATGCTTATTTTGTCTACTGTTACTTGATATTTAGTAATAAATGTTCATTATAATAAATGAATGCTTAATAAAATAAAAGAGACAAATATAGTTTATCATCACAATATTTCAAGAAAACATTAAAACAATCACAAAGAACACTCTATGTTCTTTTGTCATTCGTAGACCAGAAATGAACAGTGTTTGCTCCTTGAATTCACTTTTTGTGGCCCTATAACCTCCAAAACTCATCCCAATTCCTCCAAAACACACCACCAAATATGTGATGCCATTCCATACACTTAGCTTCCCTCTGGCCTCAAATATGTGGCCCTGGTTTCTTGTTTTTTTTTTAAAAAAAATATTTTGTTTTATATCATACATTTCCTTTCTATGTTGAGCAGTGTGCTCTCTAGGTGTCCTCGGTGTTAACATACAAACATCATCATCATCATGATCATATATATATAAACAAATATGTGGTAATATATAAACTAATATGCAATAACATATTATAACATATATTATCTTACATTATAGTATCGATATATAACCGTCAGAAATATTTACTCTATTTTTCTTTCTGCTATAAACCATATTTCACCTAATTCCACTCCTCTAACCTCAATATCTGTCATTTAACAATTTATAGAATAGTTCCCAATGTTATGAAATAGTCCGAATCTTCTTTTTCTTTTAGGGTTAGGTTGGATATCTCTGCACATTCCAGAATTTTTTAAATTATATTGTCTGCAGGGGTTTCTGGATTTTTCCAACATGGTGCGTATGCGATCCTAGCTGCTGTTAGGATGTGTAGAATCAAATATGTGTTACCCTTATTGTAATTTCCTCAAATCATACCCAACAAAAATGTCTCAGGTTTCAGAACTATTTGTTGTCGTATCATATTTTCCAGCCATGTGTGCATTTTCTTCCAGTATTTTTTGGCTTTGGGGCATGTCCACCACATATGGTTTGAACCTGGTGTCTGATTACATTTCCAACATTTAATTGATTTTTATACATATTCGCTAATCTTAGAGGTGATTAATACCATCTGTAAAACATTTTATAATGGTTTTCTTTGTATGCTGTTGACGTTTTAAGTTTATGATTTCTATTCCATAATTTCTCCCATCTATCCAGATCTATTGTATAGCCAAAATTCTTAGCCCAAATTATCATTGTTTCTTTTACTTGTTCTTCTTCCACTTTGTGAGTTAATAATTGTATATCCTCTTAATTAATTTTTGAACTGTTCCCATTAATATCTGGTCCAGCTCATTTGGTTCACTGTAAAATCCACATTCTTGCCTGTCTTTTTCGTACCTGGATTATACTTGCAACTGTGGCCACCATGGTCGGTCAATCCCTAATCCTTTTAATTCTTGTTTTGTTTTTAGTTCTCCTCTTTCGTTTAATAGGTTATAATATGATGGCACTGTTTTTTTCTTGCTGGGCCTCCAGCATAACCAGCCAGCAACAGAGCCTTCTTCTTAAGCCTCTCTCTCGGCCCTCTTAATACTTATTCGCTATCTCAGATCTTCTCTCTACTATCACATAAAAGAGGAGAGGGCATTGTATTAGCATCTTATCACTGTTTAGATACCTGTCCTATTAAGGCTTAGGAGATATTACAGATAGTCCTGACTGTTCATTTAGTAACTTTTTGAAGTTACAATGGCACTGAAAAAAGTGATTTATTATTGTTTTTCACACTTACAGCTGTTGTGGCATCCTCCTGGTCATGTGATCCAAGATTCAGCTGCTTGGCAACTAACTCTTATTTATGACAGTTACAGTCTCAGAGTCATGTGATCACCTTTTGCAACTTTCTGGTGAAACCAGATTCACTTAACTAACTTAACAACTGTGGCAAAAAGGGTAGTAAAATGGGGGCAGAACTCACTTAATTGTCTCTCTTAACAACAAAAAATGTGAGTTCAGTTGAGGTCATAAGTCAAGGACAACTTGTATTGATTTTTCACCAAATTTTCTGGGAATTGTCCCTCTGGATTCATGGACAAAATTCTCTCGCTAGACTTTCCTTGGCAGGTAACACTGACATCCTTTCCCAGGTTGGCCTTATTACATTTACCTGATAATATTCAGCATTTGAACAGCATCCCAATTCCACCTTCATTGGTAAATCAAAATCTGTGAATGTCTATGGCAGAACAATGGATTAGGCTTATTAGTGTTCTTGAATCCTAAATCAGTACATTCACCTGTAACTGATTTTTTTTTAGAAAACATCATTAAATCTGCTCCACGAGGGCAATATATATGCAGAGCCTTCACCTCCAAAACTACATATTAGAAAGTGTTAAGTCCCGGTGGTGGCAATTAGCAAAGTAATTGTATGTATCTGATAGGCTTACCTTTTAAAAAAGAATTAAAGTTTCTCTAACTACTTTTCTACTTTTGTTTGACATGATAGGCTAAAATGTGGTTAGCCAGTTTGCAATTCAATGTCTTCTGCAGTCCTTGTTAATTATTCTAAAGTCTTTTTTTTCACTTTTGAATTGATTTCACATATAGAAGACCTTTCTTGCAAGAGCCCAGTTTATTTTTGGACAATCCTAGGTGGAAGTTAGCCACTATCAGACAGCCACAAGAAGCTATCAAAAGTACAGAAATAGCTGAATAAGATATTTTGGCTGTAAGAAAAATGTAAAGCCCATTTTAGGAAAATATCTCAGGGCAACATCTCTGAGGGAGATGGGCAGTTAAGAAATAGGAAGTATAAATAAATAAAGCAGGATGAGACTAGCAATATTTTTTCTTCATTTCAGCTGCTCTAGGTTGAACCCAGAATGCAACTTCAAGCATCCTACTATCACCCTATCTGGGTGTCCAGTTCCCATCTCATTTCTCTGTTCCCAATAGATGGAAATTGTAACAACCGGTAGGTGGATTTCATATTTCCAGCAATATCTCACTTTTGGTTTCTTCCTCTGGGTCCTCCTATTCCAGGCTCTATAACACCGGGTCTTATCTTTCTGAGGAATTTTAGAGGTATTGCTTAAAAATGAATTGACAGGGTTTAAAACAACAACAGGGGTATGAATGAAACAATGAAAAATACCAACTGCAAGCTACCTTTGCAATTTCAGGGCCTTATTTCAACAGAGGAAGTGCGAAGCTACTTTTGTTGAGAAACCTTCGAAGTCCCGTTTGCCAGAGGGGGATGTTGCATTAGACGGGACCTCGGCGACCTTACGCCTCTCGCCAGAAACAAGAGTTGTTTCCTTGGAACCCTGGTTAGAAACTGAGGGCACCACTCATAAAAAACAAGTCAACGAGAACTCTTCCGTGCGGGGCTGCGGAGAAAATGGGGCGAATGATTCTCGGGAGCTGCCACAGTCCCGGCTCTAGAAGGTCTAAGCGTCGTCGCTCCCTCGGACTCCACGCTCACGTCGTTAAGGAAACCAGCCATTAAGCGTCTCTGCCACCAGTTGCTCCGGGTTGAGGTGGAGTCCAACCAGTCGCATTTTGGAGGTCGGAGAATAGCCCAGCCGCCCAGAGAGAAAGCGAGGGCGCAGAAGGAAGGAAAGGCCGGGCTGGGATTGGATCACATCCCAAGGGTAGCGAAACTAATCTCGCGTGTCCAGCCCCTCCTTCTGCAGGACAAATTCGCTATGGGAATTCGCGTCGACCCTCTTTAAAGATCTGGGTCTCCCCTTTCGCAAGCGCGGCGCCCCCCAGTGTTCGCGGAGCTGCAGTATTAAGTGAGTCTCTTCTGTTCAGACGGCGGGAGGGGTCTGTGTGTGACCATCACCCCCACTTACTCCCCCCTCTCGTGAATTTTCCTCAGAAAGAAGTGAGGGCGAGGAACAGATGGGGGGACGGGAAGTTGAGACTTTGCCGACGGCTCGCTCTCCCGGGCCAGGGAAAACGAGGGTGGGAGTCGCGCGGCGGGGAACTCTTGGAGCTGAGCAATAGCGCGCTTTGATCCGGATTGAACCCGCGCGATTCGACGCTACTTCTCTCCCCCCCGCTCCTATTAGCTATCTAGCTATCTAATTATCATCTCTGTGTGGAAGGGTCGGGAGTGCAGTTTCATGTAGCCGGGTTTGCTTAACCCAGGGAAGATTTGCAGCTGTGGTGCAGTTCACTAAGGATTGAGTACAATAGTTTTATGGCGCTGCCGGAGCGGAGAACCCCTGGGAAAGGCGCACTCCTAGGGCTCTCCAAGCCCCGTTTTTTGTTTTTTTTTCCTGTCTTGCTCCTCCGGCTCCCGCGGCCCCCTTCCGGTCCCTCTCGTTCCCCCAACCTCCTCCCAGGTGGCGAGTCATTTTCCTTTTTTTCTGCAGCGTTTGGAAGAATTTGGGCGCCTGGTAGCAAAGTTGGACCCACTTCCCATCCGGGGCATCTAAATTTCTTCTCCGGGAAAGGAGAGGCAGGAAAAATAGAACAGAATAGAACCCTTTATTGGCCAAGTGTGTTTGGACACACAAGGCGTCAGGGTGAAGCTGGGAAGTTATTTTCAAAAAAGGTGCGTAGAGGGGAGGTGCGTGGGAAGTTGAGGTAGCCAGAGCTGCACCTTCCTCTGGGTGTTACTTTGGAAGGGAAGGCAGACAAGTATTGAACAGGATGTATCCCCCACCAGCCTGCCCCGTTGGCATGAACTAAGGGTGGGTAGGGAATGTGCAGTTGGAGCAACATGGTTCATGTCCAACCCCCATTAATCTCCTGTGAAAGTGGCACTGGAATACATGGGGTTCTGTCCCTCCAAATGTGAAAGTAGAAAAATACTCTCTGGAAGTGCTTGTGTTAAGCAGGTATTAAAGGATAGGGTTTCTAAGATTATGTCTCATGAATCTGATAATCTGTTAGTTAAAGTAGGTGACACAGGTGTTTCAAGGACCCAATATCTGTTGAATTATGGGATAATCATTGCATTCTAACAGTAACACAGCAACTAAATAAGTCTGTCATCTTCCTCTTCTAACATGGACCTGCTAAATAAGGGCTCTTCTCTGCCATAGTTTTACACTGGCATTTTTCTTCTATGTCCTCAGCTCCTCCACTAACCACTATACTCTATGTCTGTGTCCTGTCGATCACTCCGATTGGCAGAAGGGAAAATGATAGGAAGTTTTCAAATGAACTGGAGTGCAAAAGAACTTCTACTCTCTAATGTTTTGTGGAAGCCGCTGTATTTAGGCAAAGAGAGAGGGCTTCAACCTTTTCCTTCTGAGAAAAGGCTACAATTCTTCAGGTTTGAAAAAAAGAAAAGAAGGTATTGATTGGGAATATGACTGAGACAAAATATATATATACACCAGAGAGAACTCTGATTTCTCCTGCTCCCTAAGATAATTTGCCTATTTCCATGTTTTCTTTCTAGCACCCAAGAGATGTCTGATTGGCCATTGTGAAAAGCAATATTCTAGATTGAGATGGGCTTTGTCTAATTTTTCCAGACTGTTCTTATGTACTTATGGCTTCATTTCGGGGGCAACTGGGTTAAGGGGCTTTGGGGTTTTCAACCCTCCCTTCCATTATTTGAGCACTGAAAGTTGAATGTCACCTGTCCAAAAAATCCACATTAATTTCCTTATCCTATTTTTTTTTCTCATAAGGAAACTGATAACGGTTGATGTTTCATCTGACATCTTCCTGGTGGTTGCTGGGTTATACATACTTTATGGTACACTCCTGCTTTATCATCACCTAGGTTTCCGGGGTTGGTAAGAGGAAGCTTCAAAGAGTATTATATCTAAGTGGAAGGTGCTTGTAGAACAGCATCGGACAGAGATTCCTGTGAAGAAAACAAACTCCTGAAGATCCACAAAGGTTTTCTAACTTGTCCTAGGACTTGGGATTGTGCTGCCTATTCACCCTCTGAAGATGCCTCTTCAAAACCTCACACAGCCCACCTATCACCAACCACCCAGTAACTTGCATGCTGATTTACAAGGCTTGTTCAAGATGGTGCACGGTTACTTGGGGATTGTACAACCCAACAGTTTCCCCAAAGGTAAGAATTATAATAATGCAGGAACCATTTCCATATCATCAATAACCAGTTTAGTACAGAATGCCATTGGGTTCTTCATAAAACTTGGTCAGCCGTTTCCTCCCCCCCCCCTCACTGTGTAGACTCCTCAGATTAAATGTTGTGAAGGACACACATTTAATTTGAGAATTCTTAGGAAAGTCTTAACTATTTGAATACCAAGATTGACGCCAGCTAAGCAAATGCAGTGAGTTTGCTATGGCATTGTGGGGGGAAAACCAATTTAACTGTCTTAATGAAATGATCATTTTTGAAATGATCATAATGATCATTTTTCTGAATTTGGGGGTCAAATGTTTTTGATGCATGTTAAAGTGTTGAAACTGTAACATGACTCCACACCTAAATTTTGCTTTCCAATCCTTCTGAGAAATAGACTACTACATAGTAGACCTGTCTGTGACATTCTGTATACATGTCTTCCTCCCTGATCTGAACTCGGGATAACCTGTTTTTCCAGCTTACAGTAAAAATAGGCTATTTACAAATAGATTTTTCTTTATGTCAATTAGAAAATACTTTCTCTTTCTGGTCTAGCTCCAGTGTCAATCATCTCTTCTCAGATTTTTTTAAAGTGCAAAGAACCTTGTTTAAATAACAAAGAACAAGCATTTGATCTGACATGTCTGCGGTCACTTGAAAAAGAAAACAGAAGCAAAAGGTCCACTTGAATTCTGGGCAGATGCTAGACACTGAATTCATAGTCCGGAAGTGAAGGACGAAAGGTGTAGAGAGCTGGCTCACCATGGAGTAGAACAAAATGAAAAAAGAACCTACGAGGGTTTTTTTTTGTTTCCAATAACCGTTTTTTTACTCACGGGCAGTCCAGGAAGAACAACACAAAACCTTCCACTTGTTTTCATGCAATTTTGGTTATATGATTAATGCTGTTTTCTAATAAATTGTGTCAATGCTTTGAATAAAACTTCTGTGGAAGAGTTCAAAAGTGTTAAATGGTACAGTATAGTTACCCTGAAATTTACACAATTTGTAATTTAATTGCACAAAGTTTGTAATTTAAAATAAGTCCTGCCTTAGGCATGAAAGCTGGCTGGGTGAGTTTGGGCCAGTCTCTCTCTCTCTCTCCCTCTCCCACCACCCTCTCTCTCCCCCTCCCTCCCCCCCTCTCTCTCAGCTCAACTCACTTCATAGGATTGCTATTGTGTAGCAAATAGGAAGAGGAAGAAGTATTATAACATTTGCTGCCTTGAAGTATTTATAAAAATAATAAAGACAGGATTTAAAAAAAAATTAAAATCAGAAAATGCTCCTTTTCATCATAAATATGTGAACTATTTTAGAACGATCTTCTGAAAACTCCAATATTATGGCTGAATGTCAGTATAAGTGCAATGGCAAAGCTGTGGAGCTTTGGAGCTTTAATTCTGCCACTGCTGACAAGCAACAGGACTGTGTTTTAATAGGAAAAATGGGGTGAGGGTGAAGGAGCTATAGCCTCCACTGGGCTATTTATCAAGGTTGGTTTCCCAGCCTTTTTTCCTCCCTAGTGGTTTTGATTCCACAAGTGAAGAACATGAAATTTACCACTGTTGAATAAGCTGGAGGAAGTGGTGTGTTGTTTCTTTTCTTAAAAAATATTTCTGTGATACTTTTAACATTTTAATAGGATATTTTAACAGAAAACACAATGAAAAATACATTTTACTACAAATATTCCAGGGTTAAATGCCTGAGAGAAATAAAAGTCTATATCTGATACAGTGGAGAGAGAGTTCCTAGCAAGGCCCAAAGCAGAAAATACCTGTAGCCTATCCTCTACAGCCTTCTTTTTCAGATCAGATATTTCAAGCCCCTGAAAAGATTAACATAGGATAAGGTGTTTTTTTTTACATATAGTGTCTGCACAAGGTTTAAATACAAACACCACTCTTTGAACAGTGTTTCAAAATAGATTTAGAAACCTAGTATAAATCTCTTCAAACCTTAGAGAGATGGCTTTGCAGTATCTTCTTCCACTTACGAGTCCAAATCTGTGCTTTGAACTAGTTCAAGTTCTAAAGTAGCCAATATGCTGTTCATTCAAATGTTTAGCCTGAAATGCACTAGTAACTACAGTGTGCTTAATTATAGTTGTTTTCTATCCAGATTGAAGCTCAGTTGAAGCCCTGCAGTTTCTTTTTTAACACACATACATCCTCCACTGTATACAAAGGAAAGGACGGAAAAGGATTAAATAGTTTGCTAATAGCTGTATCAGTTTGACCCTAAGGAGGCTGCTTCATTCTTTAGAATAATGAGGCAGGCCCTGAGGCTATGATTTCTTATCTTGAATATAATGCTTCTTGTGATGCAACTCAGAATGTTAAGATCCTTTTGACAATAGTGTTGCATGTTGAATTGTATTCAGATTGTAGACAACTTGATAACCTAACCCTTGTGTCCTCCCTGAAAGTTATGGCTTCTTTCTCTTTTAAGGCTAGAGAAAATTCTTAAAGCTCATGTGTTTAGTCTCTTGCAGCTTAAAGGGGTTGAGAATAATAGCTAATGAAAGTTGAGAATCTTCTAATTATTGCTCTTCTAGACCTTCAATCATTGAGTATGAAACTACAAATTTGTTAGATACAAATAACTTTAAAGGCCCACTTGGTGCAATATTTTGCTTTGAAGAATAGCCACCTATTCCCCTCTTAGTTGGTAGTCTCTGTGTTTTATTACTTCTCTTTAACTATTAAATAGCAAGCAGCTATTTAAGAAGTATGTACTCTTAGTTTATCTTACCCTTTAAAAATGAATCTAAGGTCAGCAGGCGCATTGAGCAACAGTGTATTTGTTGTATTTAACACTTATCTTTCCATGAAGGCACCAGTTCTTTTATTTTTAAGAATGCTAGGTTTTCTTGGATATCGGGTGTCAAGTAAAATATTTCTATGGTGGCTTTTTCCTGCCAGGATGTTTCTGTTTTACAATTTTACATCCTTAGGCAGAGTTTGCCTATGAAGCACTGGACTTAGGCAGTAGGCCAGAGGTCTTCAAACTTGGCAACTTTAAGACTGGTGGATTTCAACTCCCAGAATTCCTCAGCCAGCTACAGTCTTAAAGTTGCCAAGTTTGGGCACCCCTGCAGTAGGCATTCTAATCAACAAGGCCACATAATGACCAGAATCCAGCTCTTTCATAGCTGTTTTACCATTCTGCTATTCTGTCAATCACAGACCTTTGTTATTGTGGCTATTTTATCTTTGTCTTTGCCTGACACCGGATCACAGTGTCTGGAGAAAGTGTCTGGACAAATAAACACACACACACAAATAAATGTAAAAATATTGCCCATCCTTGGAAAGGGTGGTAGTTTAATAGGCCATGGAGAGAGTGATATGAAGATTGTTTTGGAGTCCACTTTATACTGTTGGAATAATTATCCTTCTGAGTTCATTTCCAAGTGGGGGAAAAGACACTGGAAACATGGAGGCTATTTGGAAAGATGGTTTAATGGTGGACTGGACCCCATGGCTTGAAGCTCCAAAGAAGGATGATCACATGCTCCAAGGTGAAGGAAAAGAAAAAGAAGGGCCAGCCAAGATGCTGAGAGACCCTTATATACCCTCTGTTGGGCCCTACCTTAGTGTTTCCTGTTCCTGTGTAAGAAATGTACCCCATTGGCTGTCAGACTCCCAGGGGTCTTAGATAACTTTTTAGGCTTTCCTGAGTTCCAGGCTTGGTTGAGCCTTGCTGGATGACGATGCACTGAAAGGGCTCTTGGGCAATTGCTATACCTTTAGCTGGAGATCTTTGTTATGGCCTAGGCCTTAATGGTCCACCCATTAACAAAGGTGGGGATGAGCTTCTGCTTCTGAGGTGTTTCTGCTCTTTAGTTTCTACTCTTTTTAGGGGAAATATTCTGTCTTTTTAATATTTCCTAGGATATTTCAATTTTCTAGGAGAGATGTGGGTGCTAACTTCCTACAATACATTGGCAGCTGCTGTGTTTTCCATTAAAGGCTTTGAGTACCAACATTTTTATTTATTGTAAAGGAGCTGTTCCAGTTCAGTCAATCATTAATTTTTTGCTTAATCTCTAGGCAGTCTGTTTCTAAATGCAGAATAAAGAAATTAGTTAGAGTAGGTGGAGGAAAACTAGCATATTAAGATGGGAAAAGAGATACAAAAATGACATGGCAAAGTAAGGTCAGCACCTTTTCAGAGGACTCTTAACAGGGTCTCCAATTATCAACATTCTATGTTGTAAAACTTTCCCATTTGTTTTAGAATCATGTACCCTGACCTATCAATGCTCACTGTATGTTTGGATAATTTGTATACACACGGTACATGGCTTTTCATTATCTTTTAGATTGTGAGTTTTTCAAGCATTCAGTTGTTTTTCTAGTTGCCATTGTTTAGACCTATGAATTAAATAGAACCCAGTAATTTTTTCCCTACATCTCAAATTTAACTCTTTGGAGTATTTCTTTTTGTTTGAAAAATACAATACTATATATTTAGCCTTATGAAAAACAAGTCTATATTATAGCTCAATATTTTGATTTACTGTTTCCTCCTACAACTCCTTTTTTATAAGATCACTCAACTGACTCATATTTGGATCACATTCCAGTAAGACACAAGTTTGATAATACTGAAGTTTAACCAGTTTCACTAGTTTGTACATTTGGATTTTTTGCTTTCTTTTCTCCCTCCATTAAAACATATCACATTTGTCATTGTTAAATATAATTCTAAAGATTATGGACTAATGTATCAGTGCATTTAGTTTTAAAACATGCTATTGTGTCATATCTGCTTAAGTTTGCTTAATTTATTCTAAATTTTCCACAGTTGGGATGGGGTTTAGAAAAAAAATTTCTTGAAGATTTGAAAGTTTAATGAAGGGCAGTTTAGAGATCTGTACTTTTTTTTTACTAAGATAAGTAACTCATCCTCTTTAGGAAATACTGATTTTTAATGGTAATTGCCAATAAAAAATTTCAAATTAACATTGC